ATTGCCACTTTCGGGCAAGGATTGAGACTCAGCCTCCAAAATTATCAATTAAACAATAAGACATAAAAATTTTCCTGAAGCTTTAAACAAAACATATAAAAAACAATCAAAGAGTGCATTATATTTAAAATATAAACGAAATCAATCATAACAGGATTAAATATAATTTCATCTTTGTTCAAGCCCTAAAACATACACAAACAACTAGAACTGGATAATAAACAGGAAATCAACACAAAAAGGAAGAGGAAACTAAAGAAAAAAATTATGGAGTTAAAGAGTATACCCTTGAAAACACTAATGGTTGGACTGTGAATTTGGCTTCGTTTCTGTACCATCTCGTCACAAGTTTCGTCACAAGTTTCTCGCCGGGGGTAGTTCTCAAGACCATCGCTCTTTGCATTCCTACTCGATCACTGCATCTTCTTGCTGTTTTATGCATCAAAGATTCATGTTCTAGAGCTAGGGTTTCGAACCATAATCCCAATCCCGACGTTGTCTCCTTCGACTATTTTCTTCTTTCATCTGAAAAGTAATAAAAAACAAATTTACGTATATCAAATCAGTAATGAATTGAGAAATAAATAAAGCACTAGACAATGGGCACTGGGCAATGAATGTTTTAACTCGCCTTTTGTTAGTAACACACCTTTTGTTTTTCAAAACCCACAAACCCTTGTGCACTGGGCAATGGATGTTTTAACACTGTCATGGCTTCTACCACGCCCACTGGGACCTGCCAAATTACAGCTCATATCATTTAGCCACCAAAATCTTTTAAACCTTGAACAAAGCTCACTCTGTATGGAATAACTTTTGCAAGAGGAACCTTATAAAACCTACCGCTGCAGTTTTTTTCTTTTTTTAATATATCCCTTTTAGAGAAGTATTAAAATAATAAATATAAATAAACACATCATTCCAATTAATGATAATCCCAGGCCTAATAGCATTACAATTCTAGGCTTAGTGAATTTTTTCATATTTAAGACGTGTGTTCAAACTCCAAATGTGTATCTAGGAGCTTTGAGACTATCGATTTTACACTTTGTCACATGTCGTCCTGATCTGCTCGATATTCTAGTTTGGGTGTTGAGGAATACGCAAGGAACTAATACCGACTAAACTGGAGAAGTCCATTTCACTTAAAAAGCTAGGATGGTCAAACGTATGTGGAAGGAAAATAATATCTCAGCAATAGAAACTCCATATCACATGACGCTTGGGAGGCTCACATCCAAAGAATATAACTGCCACCCCGATAGATAAACAACTATATAACAAACTGTGGTAGCGACTCAAACAATTGAGAATACATAATGAAATTAGTTTATTCGCTTCTCCGTATAAATTAGTACCCTTATATGAATGCAGTAAAGTTTGAGAGATTTAAAAGTTCTTATTTTTAATACTGCCCATGAGGTGTTTTTATTATGTTTCTAAGAAATCGCCATCTAGACTCTCAGGTTGTTCTTTCTATTGTTATTCACTTATACAATACTCATATTCGTGTGTCACCGGTTCCATCCCTAAATGTGGTTTAGTTACATCATACCTCATGAATCAGCATAAAAAGCAATAAAGATAGCATACCTGCAAACAACACTCCCCAAATAGTTTTGATGTAGGATGATAGCCTTGAACCGCGGTTGTTATCCGAGCTGCTAGCCCGTCAAGAACCTGGCAAGAAACATCACTCTCCATCTCAGCTGAATATAATGTGAGTAACAGAGATATTACTTCAACAAAGAGGGCGGAGAGACCAACTAACCATTAGGAGGTTTTGTTTAACAAATATTGCACCATGTGGAGATTTCTTAGTATATTCTAGGCGGAGATTGAGCCTAAGATCATCTTTAGGAGTTACTTGTCAAGAGGTGATACATGAGAGTAGAAGGCTATATAAAATCTGAGATAAAATTACTT